AAGAAAGACAGACCTTTAGCTGAATGATGGACTGTGGCTGTGTAGGTCCAAATTTATGCCTCGGTGGATCAGATAATCACCAGCTTGTGATGGGGAACTCAGGTCACATAGTAACCTACTGTCTTATTCTCAAGGGTTCAGTTTCCACTAAGGACCAGAAGCCGACCAAGAGCTGTTTTTCAAAGGGAGAGTGGTTGTCTACAAAGGATGGCAAAGGCTTGCTCCAAAACCCAAAAGACCTCCACTTCAATTCACCTGTGGGAGCCTGCCAGAGACTCCAAATAGCATCTCCACCCGCATCTGACACTTCAACAACAATAGATTCTGATGGATCATATTAACAGAGCAGCCTGTATAACCCTGGACCTGTTACAGAGCCTTCTCTTATTCTGAGTCCAACTCAAAACTAGCTATTTTCTGAGTTACTTGGTAAATATTCAAAATTAACTTTTATAGAGAGTTACTAAATTCCTTACATCTCACAAGTGGTGAGTTAGGATAATCAAATAGATCTGCATTATATATTACTTTAAATAGTTTGCACCAGGAACTTTCAGAATTTCTCAGTATCAGAAGGAGATTTAAATGACATCTTAGACCCCATCAAAGTAGCAAGCAAACTCCCGTAAGTACTATAGCCATTAAAGAGCTTCATCTTTACAGTTCTATTTCTCCAGAGTAATGTCTGATACCCAATTCTGTATCAATCAATGCTTATTAGAGAAAGGGATTTAATACAAGATATATAAGTATGTGAGGATTTACAAGGTTGGCTTAGCCAAACATGGAGGTCCACGCCCTTAAATCCAGCACTTGCAAGGCAGTAGGATCACCATGAGATCCAGTGGAATCTGGGCTATGTAGTGAGAACATGTCACAAAAGTAAAAAAAAAAAGTGGGGGGGGAGGGGCTTAAAACGACCACCCACAGAGTCAGATGTGGCAAAATGCAAAAGGGCTGTTTGTGCATGGGAGCTCCAAAGGAGCCGGGTGAAGGCCCGCAGCTCACTGTAGTATCCCAAGCAAGTCCATCTCAGGAGGTTGAAGGATCTGGAATGGAAGCCAGGAGACAACATCTAAGGAGAAGGGGAAGACTGGGCACCTCCAGAAACAGGTGGGAGCTTTCTTTCTTCCTTTCCCTTTTGTTGCATTTAGGCAGCAAGCCTATTGGTTGCTGTCACTCACACCTAGGGCGGGGCTTCTCTCCAGCAGATCCCTTCAGCCACACCCAGAACTACACTGATCCAATGTAGTTGGGCTTTTCTTATTTAGTTAATTATCACATAATTTCTTAGTTAATTATCACAAGACACCTCAGAACTATAGGCACCAGTGGAAGTGTGTGGGTGTGGGCCTTGATTTGTGCTGCTCGAGAAATCTCTTTGTAATAGGTAACTGATTGTGTCAATTTGAGTAAAAAGTACTCAACTTCATGGATTAGCATAGTTCTGGGCATGGAAGACCCACCCTAGGAAGGGTTGTGAAACCCCCCCCAAGGTTGAACCCCCGCCCTAGGAAGGTTGTAATCCACCCTAGGGGAAGGTTGTAACCCACCCTATGGAGGGCTGTAACCTCCTCCCTAGGGAGGGTTGTAGCCCAACCTAGAGAGGATAGTAACTCACCCTAGGAGGATTGTAACCCCACCCTAGGGGAGGGTGGTAACCCTTCCTAGGGAGGGTCCAAACCCATCCTAGGGAAGTTGTGACCCCACTCCATCTTAGGGAGAGTAGCAACCCACCCCAGGAGGGTTGTAACCCCAGTCTATGGAGGGCTGTAACCCACCCTAGTGAGGGCTATAACCCCCCAGCCTAGGAGGGTCTGAACCCACCCTAGGGAGGGCTGTGACCACCCTCCCATCCTAGGGGGGCTGTATCCCACCTTAGGGAGGGCTGCAAAAGCCCCACCCTAGGGAGGGTTTTAGCCCAAGCCAGAGAGGATTGTAACCCACCCTAGGAGGATTGTAATCCCATCCTAGGGGAGGGTCGTAACTCACCCTAGGGAGAGTAGCAACCCACCCCTACGGGAGGGTTGTAACCCATCTTAGGTATGCTGGCCACCCCACCCTCGGATGGTTGTGACCCACCCTAGGGAGGGTTCTAAGCCCCCCACCCTAGGGAGGGTTGTAATCCCACTCTAGGTAGGGTTGGCCCAGGAATGGGATAAAAGGCGGCTTTCCTCCTACTGTTCAGACAACCTCTAGATGCCTCTTCGATTCCACTGCTCATTCTTCAACCTCCAGATCCAGACTTCTGCGAGACACCACGCTAAGGCCCGGACCTTTACCTGGATCCTTCCCACTCTTCAATGCCAGGCTCTGGGTGACCACTGTAAGTCAATTTTATAAATTCATATATATATATATATATATATATATATATATATATATATATATGTGTGTGTGTGTGTGTGTGTGTGTGTGTGTGTGTGTGTGTATATTGCATTAAATTTGTTTCTCTACTAAACACCAATTTTTTTTTTTTGGGACAGGATCGTGCTGAACTCGCAGCAACCCTTCTGATTCAGCCTGCCAACTGCTGGAATTCTAGGTGTGCCCAGCCATGTCTGGCCCAAGCATGAATTCTCCTGGACACAAAGGTACCAGATGGGGGAGGATATGTGTCTCCAGTACGGATTCCTAAAGGTAGAAAGGGGCAGTGAACATTGGGCAGAAAAGCTTGGCTAAACTGAGTGTTTTGACTGAAATTTTCCAGTTATAAAGTCAATGTCACTAGATTTCTTGTCCACACTCAGGCCCTGCTTTGAGGTCCTATTGTTTCTGAACTCCCAAAATTCCTGCCTACTCTGCTCCCTTCTCTACCAGTCTATGTTTTCAGAAGGGAAAGCACAGAGGGTCAGAGGATCACATATGTTCAGAGTGCATGGTGGACACATACAGTATCTGCTGAGAAGAGAGACAGGAAATCAGAGGCCCTGAGGGGAAACCAAGGTGATTGACAGTTTGAGTTCTCCATTTCCAGTCTGGTAACCAGGTGTGTTTTCCTTCAAACTGGTTACCAGATTGGCACCCATGATCACCTCAGGGGCTTCTGATCTCCCTCATGAGCGGGTTCAAAGCTTGTGGGTGTTGGCATGCCAGGGGCAAGAGCTGCTTCTCAGAGATGGTCTCCACTTGTGTCCTCTCTGGAGAAGCAGCATTGGCTTAGGTTCAGTTGAATTAGAGAAGCGGGGTGCAGGCAGCTCAGAGTCTGTTCTGTGGAGGGAAGGTGGTGTTTGGGAGAACTCATGGCCACCAGCCTCTATCCTGCCCGTGTGAGGACCAGAGTCCCCAGCCTGTCTCTCCTGGGTACACCCTGAGGTGGTGGTGGTGGATGATGAGATCCCAGGGCAATCAGGTGAGGGGGCTGGAGTCAGGAGAGGTCCGAGAAGGTGACCAGTAAGAGGGACGGGTGACAAGGAAGGAGGCACTAAAGAAGGCAAGGACAGGAGAGAGGAAGGACAGGAAACAGGACAAGGATGGCTGTATGGGCTCCTGTCTAGATGTCCCCCAAAGCCTCATGCAGCCATAGTGGGGCTTTTCAGAGTGGCTGGATCTAGAGAGTGATGCTGGGATCGAGGGTGTGTGATCACTAACTCAGTCCACTGATTGGTGCTGAGCATAGTTCTGGGTAGGATTCAGGTGCCTCACCGTGGGTAAAATATAAGGGGCAGAAAGAGGCTGGTGCTGTCGCTTGCTGCTTGGGATTTCACTGCTTTGCTGCTTCTGCCACGCCACAAACTGGTTCTCCTGTGTGATGCCCCTCTGCCGAGCCATTGCGCCCTGGAGCCAGCTATTACAAATTGAGCCAGAATAAAACTTGCCTCCTTTCACTGTGGGTGTCTCAGCAACAAGAAAAGAAACTAAGACTAAGGCCGATGAAAGGAAAAGCTGGGGAGCTGGAAAGGGGTCAGGAGATGAGAGCCAAGAATGAGCAGGGGAGGAGGAGGTGGCCCGGGTCCCTCCCTTGATGAGGAAAGCGTCTGGGTGAGGAAACCTTTGTAAGCACAGGGTGAGGGGACCTTGGCAAGAAGAATGGGGCAGATGGAGATCGCAGGGCTTTGGAGGGGGCAACTGTGGAGGAACTTTGGGGTTTACTTCCAAGGAGGGATTTGGGGTGACATGGTTGCTGAGACAAATACTAGACACCCAAAGTTAAAGAAAGGTTTCCTTCAGCTCATTGCCTGGCTTCCCAGCAGGGTGTATGGCAAAGGGGCATCGCAGAGCAGGCAGGAAGCAGCCACCAGCCAAGCAGCAGCAGCCACAACAGCAAGTCTGCCCTCTTTCTGTCCCTTTATATTCCATCCAGGCTGCAAATCTACTGATTGGTGCCACCCCTACCCAGGGTGGGCACCCAACATCACAGCCTTAATCCACCTTCACACACCCTAATCATCACCTTCAAATCTCTCCTCTATCACCACACAAAGCCTTGGGGGGCATCGAGGTACAAACCAGAACACATGGTCAAAGGCTGAATTCCAAGAACGATGCTTCACACTGGATCTGGGTTTCTTTCCTCAGGTGTGTTGGTAGCACTCAGCCCCCTATCTTGGGCCTGTCCACAGAAGAGGAAGAGAGATTGCTCCTCAGAGTCTGGGGAGCAGCAGCAGGAGGACCTAGGAAGTCTGAGTGGAGCGCCTAGGCCAACACCCTTCCTCCTGCCTGAGTTACCTATCCAGAAGGAAGAGCAGGATGCATCCTCTTCAAAATCAGAATCAGAGAAGGAAGAGAAGGAGGAGGGTCATCAGGGGGATTCTGCCTCAGCCTTGAGGGGGAACCCCAGCCTCTCACCTCGGTCCCCTGGCCACACGTGGAAGAGGGAGTGCTCCTCAGAGGCCAAGGAAGAGCAGAGGGGGGGCCGCTGGTGCTCTGATGCAGCCCCACAGGAAGGCATCAGGCTCCCACCTCGCAAGAGGTGGAGGGAGTATCTGTCCCTGATGGAAAAGGAGCAGCAAGAGTCATTGCGATGCCTAGGCCCTGCGCCTTTGACCCACCTGGGTGACATGGAGATGCCCTGTGGCCTGAAGAGGAAGATGAAGAGGAAGCACCTGTGCTCAGGGCTGCCTGTGTACCACGAGGCCTTCACTCGGCTGCTCGGTAAGGAGACTCCACACAGCACCTCTCCCCCCCGGGTCTTAGGAGCCTGAGTGACTTCCTGTCCCTTCCTTCACCCATAGAAAGGATCTCACTGAGCCCTGAGCTGGCCTTCTAGGAGGACTCTAGTGTCATCCTTCCCCAGGGGCACACAGGTGACATAGAAGGCGCAGTCCTCAAAACAGATTTCTACTAGTTCCCAAATGTTCCCATCACAAAGCATGGTTCTAACTAGCCCACCTGATAGAGAGGAGCTGCTCACTTTCCTGAATGGAAGTGGATTTATGCAGCACCAGAGCAGGGACGAGGTCCTTGTGACACTGCTGTGCCCATCATGAGAGCAAATGACCAGGATGCCACTGACTCCCGCAGTGGTGCATTTGTGTGTTGCGGAGGCCCCTGTGACCTCCTGAGGTCCTAACTAGGTGGATGTGGTTTGCTTCCCAGGCCCCACAGTTGCTCCTGTCAGTCCCAGGATAAGCCCCTGGTCCCTGGCCATTCAATGTCCTCCTTTCCCTTCCCATCTGCCTGACCCTGGGTCATCTCAGGCAGCTGTGGCTCTGTTCTGTGTTCCCACTCCCAGGGACTCCTAGCTAGCCGGGCAACAAACTAACACTGTGTTCTCTTCACAGAGGATCCAGTTATCAAGATCTTCCTAGCCTGGGATGAAAACCTGAGGGCCTCTGACAAGGTGAGGTCCTTCTCCCCTGAGCTGGGCTCTCTTGGTGGCACCGCCCAGGGAGGGCAGGTTCCAGCCCCACAGTTACTCCTCTGTCCCTGCTAGGAACTCCTACCTCAGCCTCCACCATCAGTCCCCCTTAGGACTCAGCACCATCTCCCTTCCAGGCCTGGCTGGCCTAGAGGCTGGATGGGCACAGCACCCTGCTCTGCCTGGGTCCTCTGTGACTTGAGTCTGCCTGCATATGGCCTCTCTGGCTGGGGCTACGTGAAAGTTCTGAACCCTCCCCTTGGCTCTCAGGGAACCCATTCGCTCTCTCTTACAAGATGCCCTGTGATCTAGGTGACTTCAGTGTCCTGTCCCCAAGACACCCTTAAAGTGACACCCTGGGCCTCATAGCCTCCCTTCTCCTTCCTGCTGTCATTTACTAACAACCACCCATCTCTCACTGCCCCAAAATGACCAGGCCACCCAACACTAGGCTCTCCTCTCCCTGACTGGGGCCCTGCTCCCCTCCCCCAGTCCATATTTCCACAGCCCTCCTCCAGCTGTGCCTGCTGACTGTCCTCTCTCTCAACAGTACCTCCTGGCCATGGTCATCGCCTACTTCAGCCGGGCCGGCCTCTTCCCCTGGGATTACCAGAGGATCCACTTCTTCCTGGCCCTGTGAGTACTGCGCCTCCCCCCACAGGCCATGGTCAGCCCAGAGGGTGGGAGGGGACTCTCACCTGGCCTCTGGCGTTAAACCTCTGTACTGCTGACTGTAGCACAGGGGCGTCACACTGCGTGCTCCCATGCTCCTCTTAGGAATCTTGCAGTCTGCCCTCACGTTGGTTAAAGCATGCCACCAGGGGAAACTGAGGCCCCTGACTGCAGAGGCAGGAAGAACTCACATACGGGCATCAGCCCTCAGGCCTGAGGGCAGGCATTTCTGACCCTTTGAGGGTTCCCTTCCTTAGCAATATCAACCGTCTCCTTGTCCCCTCCTCTGGATTCCTAGACTGATGGCCTATGCATGCCCTCCTGACAGGCACACACTGAGTGTAATGTGCTCCCTGCTGGTCCTTCTGACAAGCCTCTCTGGGAGCCAGGGAGCAGGCTCTGTGTTGCCTGATCAGCCTTCAGAGATGGGTCCTAGGCCCGCTTGCCATGTGGCTCCCGCATTGCTAAGTACTTCATGTACACCAAGGCCTAGCTGTCCTCTGGAATTCACCCGCTCTACAATCTCTCGACACCCACGCCAGCTCATCATCCTAATATTTCCTTCCTTTCTTTCACTGCTCCTGTGAAATACTCTTGTCTGTGACTCCTGTTTCCTGTCCACTTGTCATTCTTTCTTTCTTTCTTTCTTTTTTTTTTTTTTTTTTTTTGCGTGTGTGTGTGTGTGTGTGTGTGTGTGTGTTACTGGCGATTGAACTCACGCTTGCCAGGCAGGTGTTTATGCCACTGAGCTAAATCCCCAGCCTATCTTCAGTGCACATTTGTATTCTCAGCCATTCAGGATGCTCTGAGGGGTGGATTGTTTTACTCCAGGGGTTCAAGGTCTAGGGGAACTCTGAGAATCTGTTTCAGAAACACAAAGCTGGGCATCGCTGTGCACTCCCATAATCAATGCCCTCTGGGTGCCTGAGGCAGGAGAATACGACGTGGTCAGTTTAGGAAGCTGCCAAGACCCTGTTTCTGAACGAAAACTGTAGAAAAGGGGTGCAGATGTTGGTCAACCATAAAACCCTACATTCAGCCCCAGTCCTGCCAACAAAACACAACTGCCAGTGTCTCCATCCTTCCCGGATCCCTCCCTCTGCATTCCAGCAGCACTGTCCTAGGTCCCGCTGTCAGGACATCTGGGGCCCTAGTTCCTCATCTGCCCTGGCTCACCTAATCACCTTTAGGGATGCGGCTGCTGAGCGCTGGGTCCTGTGAACATCCTTAAAACGGCAGCTCAGATCTTTTCATTCAGTGAGTGTTTCTGCTGCAGCATTGAGTCCCCAGGGGCTTTGCATGGCCTTTGTCTAGAGGTGGAGCTGGCCTGCCTGCCCTCCTCCCTTCCTTCCTTCCTTCCTTCCTTCCTTCCTTCCTTCCTTCCTTCCTTCCTCCTTTCCTTCTTCTTTCTTTCATTTAGCAAACCTGCCACGTGTCCTCTGCCAGAGGTCCTGGCAGTGGGGAGGGACATGTAGAACTCACTGGTGGAATCCATGCACGCCCTGAGCTGGCCACTGGGGAAAGGAGGGCAGAGTACAAAAACTTACCAAGGTCGCCTGTGCAGATGCTCCCCACGGGGCCAGGAGACAGAGGCCGAGCTGCAGGGAAAGACAGGATGGAGGTGGGGAGGTGGAGATGTCAGCTGCAGCTGGTGACGGGGCAGGAGGCCACCTCAGGCTCTACCCAGGGCTCCTGTCCTCCTCCCTGGAGATGCCTTCAGAAGGGCCTTGTGCAGGCTGCACCTTTGCACTCACACCTGGTCCTCGGGAACTCGGGGCCCGGCTGATGGCATCCTGGGCTGGAGGGGCCCCGCCTGTTCTCCAGGAGCTGACTCAGGGCCCAGTGGTTGTGCCTCTGGCTAGCAGCCTGCTTTCCTTCCCAGATACCTGGCCAACGACATGGAGGAGGATGACCAGATTCCTAAACAAGCCATCTTATTGTTTCTCTACACCTGGAATTTGAAAAAGGTTCCCCAGTTCCACAAGCTGCGCTACCAATTCATCTGCTACATGGACTGGAACCTCAGGGTGACCCGAGAGGAGTGTGAAGAAGTGAGTGAGATGGGGCTGGTGACTGGCTGGCCTGGGACATAGGAACAGGGGATCTTGGGCATGCGTGACCAGGGACAGCTGGAGACTGGACATGGGGGTGGTGTCCCTGACTCTTCATCCACTCAGGGGCTGCTCTCCTTTCCAGATCCAAGCGTATGACCCTGCACTCTGGGTGTGGAGCCGAGATCGCGCCCTCATCCCTGGACCCTGGAACCCTGTGGACAGTGCCCTCAAGAAGGTGGGTGGGTGTCCTGGTGCTCAGACAGCACCGCTGGTGTCTATGTAGGCAATTCAGGGATCCTTTCATGATCCCCACCCTGTCCACTGTCTCTACATCAGGAACCAGCCTAGCCCAGGCACAATTTTGGCCTCCCCCTGTCCCCTCCAAAGTCACCAGCCAGCGTGACAAGCAGACACACATGGCCTGGGAAAGATGAGCTTTGTGCTGGGACACTGCTCAGTCGGACCTCATAAACAGCGGATTGTCCATGAGGCACAAATTTAGTTGCTATCCTTCCTCTCAGAGCAATGGGTCCAGGGCAGTGTGGATGAGAGACTGATTTTTGTTCTGAGTGAACATCTATTGCCCAGCCATAAATTTCCATTTCTCGACAGAGCTGTATTTTCACCTTTTGTCCTTCAGGGAGAGGAAACAGAGGGATTTATGTATAACAAATGAGTGCTTAAGGAGAAGCTATCAGATGGAGCACGCTGCCTGTGCAGGCATGGAAGGGAATTATCCCTGACTGCATGAGCATCCCCAGCTGTACGGAGATGTGTGGCTTGTGCTAGAGTGCACTGGGAGGTTTCCTAGCTCATTTTCCCACTTATGCACGAATTTCTGCTCTCCAGTAGTTACACATCTCCTCCTCAAGAATCAGGTCGTGGATGTTTATCAGAATGATGGAAAGTTAATAAGATTAGGTTCATGGTGACTTCTTACAATAGCCACATTCCAGTATGTGTTTGGGTAGAGGAATAAGCAAGGATTTGTTGTAAATCATGTGCATGTAGTGAGACACCGGGGCTTGGGATTAGGCTCAGCACCTGGGCTTCTGTCACGGTGTTGACACTAGTGATGGTGATGTCACAGGCAGAAGTCCAGACCTTAAGTGCATGGACAGCACTAAGGGCATCATAAATAATGTGCTGTCTTCCCCAGGGGCCGTCAGGTTCCTCAGAAGAACCACTCTCACTATGAGGAGGGAGCTAGGTCTAACCTGAGCCATCTCACGTGATCTTTGGAACGTGAGTCAAAAACACTGAAAACCACAAAGGGAAATGATGGCTCAGGATTGGGGCTAAGAATGAAGTGCTAGAGATAGAGCTGGCCCAGACTATAGTTGGGCTTGGCATTTGGGTGTCAATCTTGTCATCTCGAAAATTGTCCCCATGGATCTGACTTTGTCTCTTCTCTGCCTTCCAGATCTCTGGCCCAGGAAGCAATGAAATACACTCATCACCGTATATGCCTGAGAGCTGGGAACCCATGGAGGTGGAACCATAAGGGATGAGATTTTCTACAGCGCCTTGCAAATCCTCATTCAAACTTCCCTTGAATTAGAAGTTGAATATCTGCTGTTTTATACATTTGGTTCCCTGTAACCTGGACAATCATTGAAGATGGCCTGTAGAGTCTCCTATTGAGTGGAAATCATTTGAAATATAATGACAGATCCATAGGCATGTTGCAGATTTCTTTAGTATATAGTATAAGCCATATCAGTTTGCTGTAAACATTTTGCCCATTGAAATGTTACTATGTATATTTGATATAATATTGAGATTTTTTTAGTCGTATTCTTGTACTATTTTGATAGATAATTTTAATGGATGGTTGTACATATATACTTTGTCTTTTAGAGAGGTTTATACCTTAATTACTATAGTTATGCAGACATTGTACTCATAGCCGGGGGCTGTGAGCCGGGCCCTCAAACTCCTGTAAATATACACATTGAGCGGGTTGGCTCCTGAGTCTGACACATGAAGGAGCGGTGGGTGTAGAGGAAACGCGTGTGCTCCTCGTGTTCCACACAGGACCGAGCCAGGCATTTCTCACGGATGGAAAATAAAGATGAACTGTCATCTCACCGTTCTCCCTGTGTGTGTGTGATCCTGTCTGTCTTGCTTGTTTGCCTTCGGGTGACATTTCCTCCCCACAGGGCCGTGGTTGTTTGATTAAATTCCTTGGCTGTGAAAGGGAGTCCTGACTTGTTTTTCAGTACATAAAGCAAACACACAAAAAGCAGCAGAGACTCAAATGAGGGGAAGGGATTGAAGGCACAGGGAGAAAAAGGAAGCAAAGTCTGTGGGGTCCTGGACGATCACCCTAAATCCTAAATGAAGGAAAGGCGTCTGTCTGCCCGGGAATGGCCCAGGCGAGGAGGGAGCGCAGGCCAGGGGGGTCCCTTTGCCATTCCAGTCACAGGGGCTTCTGTTGCATAACCTAAATGCCGATATGCATCTTAGGAAAATCTAGAAAAATAGAAACAACTGAAGAGAAATGGCGATAAGGGAGCAATTTCTGAGGAAGGAGATGAGAGGAGAGCCGGAGCTGTCCATAGATGGGGGAGAGGAAGGGCTGAGGGCAGATGCTGGAAGGCTGCAGAGTGGCATCTTGGGACCTGGAGCAGTGGAGAGCAGGGCAGCAGCCGGGAGGGGGCGGCTGGAAGCAGCTGGAGAGCCAGAAGAAAGCAGGGCTGAAGAGGGGCAGAGAGAGGAGAGGAGAACGGGGACAGAGAAAGAAGCGGGATGGATGCTAAGGGCTTGGGGACGGCTGAGACGTGGCCTGAGCTGAAAGTCTGATGGGTGAGGTGGGGAGGGAGGGCGGGGAGTGAGCAGAGCAAGTGAGGACGTGAAAGTTCTCAGGAAGGCAGAAGCCATCAGAGGCAGGCACCTTGCACTGAAGCCTGGTGAACCATTCCTGAAGTTCCAGCACTCCAGGAGGCTGAGACAGGAGGGTTAGTCAAGCCTGGACTGTTCAGCAATATAGCTAGACTCTATCTATAAAAATCAGAACAGGTTTGGAGATGTAGCTTAACACAAAGAATGAAGGGATCCTGGGTTCCATCCCCTGAACTGCAAACAAATAGGGAGAGCGGGGAGAGACAAAGAGAGAGAGACAGAGAGAAAGGAAGGAAGGAAGGAACGAAGGAAGGAAGGAAAGGAACGAAGGAAGGAAGGAAGGAAGGAAGGAAGGAAGGAAGAAAAGGAAAGAAGGAAGGAAGGAAGGAAGGAAGAAAAGGAAAGAAGGAAGGAAGGAAGGAAGGAAGGAAGGAAGGAAGGAAGGAAGGAAGGAAGGATGAAGGAGGGAAGCAAGGAGGCAGGCAGGCACCTTGTGGGCAGTTCTGAGACTGGCTACTTGTTTTCAGAAGCTTCTACCTGAGCTCTCTGTTCCCAGCCTGGGCGGAGCCTGTGATCACCTCACTCAGCTGATTTTATAGGTCTCGGGCTCCATGCTTAAGTCAAATTTCTATGCTCTAACTTTGCTGAAAATGCAGAACCCTTCCACTTCGCTCCTGACTCCTGACCTAGACTCTGCTGTCATCCCAGTTAGAAGATGCGGAAAACAGCATCTAGAAAGCCACTTCTGACCAAGGGTACACACGTTTCTGGACCGTAATTCTCTTCCACAGATGGGCCACGGCACACGTCATAGCACGGTACAGTCTAACTCCTTTTGTCGTTCCAACTTTTAGTCCACTGGAGACAAATGGTGAGAATCTGTCCCTTGTAAGAGGCAGGATTTTGTATTGGAATCTCTGAGGCACCTGCCCCCTCATCATACATGATATGTGATTTAGATGCCGGCTCTTTCTGCTTCAGCCAAGTGTCCCCCTTCGGTCTGTATATAGAGCCATGAATAAAGGATTTAAATTACAAAAAGTGAGTGTGGTAGCCCAGACCTGTGATCCCCACTTGGTGAGTCTGAGGTGGGAGGATCATCGTAAGTTTGGGTCAACCTGAGTTTCATATTGAGTTCATCACCAACCTGAACTACATAGCAAGACCCTGTCTTAAAAATCCAAAATAAAACAAAACAAAAACCAGTTTAAATTATAGTATAGTAATAAATACTCTAAATAACTTAAAAAGAGGAATTTTTCCCGGGGGCCCGTGCCAAGGCAGCACATCCTGTTGGGAGCAGGTGGAAGAGCAAAGCTCCTCACCTGTGGCTGCCAGGGAGCGGAAGAGAGAAGGAGCCCTGGGCTGGCACCCTGTTGACCGTGAAGGGCACGGCCCCCATGACCTCTCCCCCTCCTGCTAGGTCCTGCCTCCGATAGGCTCTGCCACCACACATCATGGCTATGCGGGGGACCCGGCCTGATACAGAGCACTGTTACAGGCCCACCGTTTTCCAAATCCTAGCCAGGTGTTTTGGCAAATGCCTGAAAGCCCAGGATCTGTGGGCTGAGGCAGGGTAAGCACCGTGAGTTCTTCACCAGCCTGGGCTACATAGTGCGTTCCAAGACAGGCTCAACTGCATACCAAGACCCTGTCTCAGACAAACACGCACACACCTGAAAGCAGCAACAACAACAAAAATAGAGTTCTTCAAGTCTTTAGAGAAATAAAATTTATCATGCTGGTCCCACGTGGTGATGCAAACCTATCATCTCACCGCTCTGGAGGCTGAGGCGGCATCATCACCATGAGTCTGAGGCCAGAGTGGGCTACATAGTGAGGTCAAGGCCAGCCCGAACCATATCAAAAAGAAAAAAAATCATGCTGAGTTGAATAGTTGGCATCTTCACCTCACTGCACCTCCTTGCTGGGATCTCATTTTGTTTTACCTTTTGTTCTTTGAGACAGGGGTCTAACTCTGTAGTTCAGGCCGGCCTTGAACTCAGCAAAACTTCCACCTCAGCTTCCCAAGGGCTGGGATTACAAATGTACACCATCATGCATGGCTGGGGTCTCATTTCCTTCTATTTTGGAGGCAGAGTCTGCCAGGATTAGTTTTGCATCTCCCTATTGGCCAGCTCATCCCAATTTTCAGAAAGCCCAAAGTCTGATTTACTTGGTATGGAAAGACTCTCAGCTCTTATTGTTTGCTGAGTGCAAGATTTCCTACGAGGCGTCCCACATTGCACTTTCTGATTCTTGAGATAAGGTGGAGTATTGATAATGTGTTGTAATCAGGGTTTGCAAGGAAAGCAAGACAATACAATTTATAGTACTATATGATGGTCACTCAAAGAGTTAAATATAAGAAGGTGTAAGAAATCTGTTCACACACTAAAGACCTAGAGTGTCTAGCTCAGGGCCTGGAACCCATGGCAGTATCCTGCATGAGTCCAGGTGAAGAACTAGAGCCCATGACAGTGCCCCCCATCAATCCAACTGGAGGCCTAGAGCCCACAACAATGATCATGAAAATCTGTTTCATGGATCTGCACTGAAAAGGCCCAAAGGTCAGTGGTGGAAGCTAGAAAGTCTGTGCCAGCAGGATGAAGCATCTGTGCCAGTAGGTGGAAGGTTCTGTCTTGGAGCCAAGAAGTGATGCTCAGAATAAGGACCGGGGCTTCCCTGGAAAGTACCACAGCCATCCTGAGTGACAATGAGGTGCTGAGTTCCTCTGATGATAACAGCTGAGTTCACATCAGGAACCAGCGTGACATGTTTCTCCTGGAGACTGAACAGCACACATCTTCCCCTCTGGAGCCAAGGAGTGAGGCTCAAAGTAAGGATCTGAGCTCGTCCAAAGTGAATCGCAGCCATTCCCAGTAACATCCAGGTCCCAAGCTCCTCTGACAATAAGAATAGCCAAGTTCATATCAGGAAAGACTTACAAGCTTCCCCAGGAGAACCCATGGCAGCAGGAGAACCAGCAGCACCAAACAACTAACTCTTCTTCAGGTCTCCTTCCTATGCTGGCAACAGTCCTCAGGTGGGCCATCTGCACTCAGCACCATGCTGGTTCAGCTCAGGCGGTGCTTAAGCTGACCACTAGTTTTCAACCCCCCACGTAAGTACAGCATAGAGAATATATGTCACAAAATCAGAAGGTGCTAGCTTTCCCTCTGGCCTGTAAAACTTTCCACTTCAAGAAAGTTTCCCTCTATGTTCAGTCACTTGTGTTCTTTAAAGACCTCAGGCGTCACTTGAAGGGTAACAGTTCTGTTGGACTGAGGGTGTCCATGCTGACAACCTGTCCTCTCTGCCTCCTGAGACTCATCCTGATTTTCAGGTGGTGTTCCCATGAAGTTGGGGCTGGTTTTGCACTGTGTATTGAGGGGTGCTACTGCTTTCCTTGTGCCCCCAGTGACATGACAAGAGACTCACCCGCTGAGGCCTCCAGGATTTCATTGTGAGTGTGATGTACTGCGATTACTGAGGATAGGAAGCAGCTGCCACTGGGCTCCTGCTGACCGCTGAGGACACAGAGAGTGACCTCGCAGAGGCTCATGCCTGCTTGCCCTGACCCGGGAGCGGGAAGGGCCGTGTTGAGAGGAGGTCCCACAGCTGGCCTGGCTCCTCAGGGACACTGCTCCTGCTGCTCAGGGCTGTAGCCTTCAGAAAGAGCAGGACTGCTGTGCATGCATGTCATCCACCTGACGGATGACAATTTATTTCTGGGATTTTCCTCTTTCTCCACGTACAATCTGTCCCCCTGTGTTTTCTCTTGCCTGTCAACCACTGGTCTATTTCAGGGATAGTGTCAGGTACAGGTGAATCATTGTTGAGAGCGGCAGACTTTTCCACCTTTTTACTTTGACATTTAATTACACATCCAGAACTTCATTTCTTCAGAGATTGACCCTTGAGAAAGGAACCCAAATCTCAGGGAGCCCCAAGGCTGGAGGACCTAGAAGAGCCAGAGGGTGGGGCAAATGGGGAGCCTGCAGGGCCACAGGGTCCTCTTGCTTGGAGGTCCAGAGAGGACAAGTCTACCCTGCCTGTACTGTGGTCCCCACTGTGCACCACCTGTCCCACCTGTGCATCACCTTTTCTACCTGTCCACACCTGTCCCACCTCTGTGTGGTCTTTCCCACGTGCCCCTGCCTGTATGCTCTGCAATACCTGGCCCCACCTGTGTACTACTTGTGTGGGGCTCCCCCAGCCACAGCTAAATGGGATAGGCAG